AAAAAAAAAATTGAACACCCCCTTCTCCTGAACAGTGTGGCCTTTTCGTCTAGCCCTGCAGTAAGAGTGCTTTTGTTTTACCTGCTGTTCCCTGGAATTAGCTGGGATGCAGGGGTGAGACGGTTTTGCACTGCAAGGGAAAGTAAAAAGCTTCCTGTTTCCAGCTGTAGACAAGCTGAACTGAACCCTGTTTGTCGCATGATCCCAGCTTCGTGAATTTATGACTGTCGAGTATGAAGCTCCCTTTGACTGATGCTGTGTGGCGTTTATGAGTGTGAAAATGTGTCACCATCGACATATCAAATGCGGATAAATCACGTAAAGTTTCTTGATTTTTCATGAGATGCTGTTATCAAGGGTGGTATGAGATCAGTTCATTTCCTAATTGTGTGCACATACTGTACTCTCCTGTAATTACTGGTGAGAGGAAGGGAAATTGCTTTCTATAGACAGTTAACCTCATTATTTAAAGGTGTTTGAGCACATGAAGGTGGAGCCAGAAGCTTCCAGCATATTAATGATCCACGTCACAGTACTGATTCACATGATTAAGAAATTAGTTGAAAGAGAGGATAAAAAGTTTATGATCATAGAACTAGAAATGTGTTATGACAGATGAATAAGGTATAACTGTGACAGTGTTATAAAAACGATGCAGATCTCTGAAATAGCTGGCTTCTAGGAGCAACACAGGAGTTGTCAGAGAGCATTAGTTGCCGAGACTCCCTTCAGAATATTTTCTGGCTTAGAATATGTATCCCCCCTCTGCTATTGCACAAGTACACCATGCTTGACATAGGGTACACAGGAAGCTCTTATAATTTCCATCTGCCGAATGTAACATTTCCAGTTTTTCAGATTGTATTCACTGCACAGTGCAACAGAACAATGGCAGTTTTGTACTGTACATTATCTCACGTTCACAGTGTAGTTCAGACCACTGCCACATGATATGTGGACATCCAATTCCAGTTAATCCAAATGGTGGCTATATTGTGCAGTAATTTGGGATTATGAATTGCTCAAGATAACTGTTTAGAAAGCTTGCCCATTGTGTCACCGTTAACAACATTTTTCATGCCCCTGTCAACGAAGAGGTCCTCTGTGTTCATTACATTGAACCATTTTTTCATTTTTCAACTCTGACCGTGAAATTGTTCTGCTTCGCTCATATTATTTTTACTAGAGCTAATGTGCTGGTCGTTATTCCACCTACAGAGTTACTGTATGTCATGGGGATGGACTCTTTACCATTAGCTCATCTTTGGGAGAGTGTCAGAAATCTCTTGCTGATTTGCATACAATTAAGGTTCTTCGGTAGAATAAGAAATAACCAACTTACTCTGAGAGTGTTCGTGCTGGATTTTAACTGAGCTACTCAAGCACATTTGCTGTCTTCTTGTTAAGCCACTCCACACAGTAGATTTGGCCTTCTGATTTGGGGTCACCGTCCAGCTGAAAGGTGAGTTTTTGTCTCAGTTTTAGGTCTTTAGGAGACTGAAGCAGATTTACCATTGTGAATCTGAGCTCTGCCATAGCTATGATTTGTTTCTGAAAGGATCCTGCAGGAAACTTGGTTCTGATTAAAGCAGCAGTGAAAATAAATGCTCCTAGGTCTAGATGGGTTACTTTGCTGGCATTAAAAGTATTTTTTTCTAAGTAAGATGGACCTACTGTTTATGGCTCTCAGCATCAAACCCAGGGTGCTTTTAAAGTGTTTGATTCTTCACTCGTTCTAATATACCAGACAGCCATGAACTTACAAAGGCTGTGCATCAAGCTGTTTAGAATGTTCTTCATTAGTAACATTCACTTTGAGAGCACACAGTTTGGAAAGGAGGATAACCTTGATTATTCTGGCTTTTTCAGCCTTTTCTAACTTCAAAATACGTGAAGGACCAATCGGATTGGCAGTCGGGCTTGTAAGGCCTCACAAGGGGGAATTTTGTTAGACGTACATACAGTATTTAGAATGCCTCTCCGAAGTGGTTTTAAGATACAGTAAGTTCTCCACTGGCTTGCAATATAGGCAAACCAGATGAACTCAGCACCCAAAGAGTAATGCAGTGGAGCTTTGAAGTTATACCAATAGATACTGCCTGTCCTGCTTTTGATTAGTATAATGCTTAAGCGGAGAGGGGAGGACATGGCAGCTCTCAGTTTACCCTGCTCAGGGTCTGCCTGTTGCTGGACCTCGATGTGTGCATGCTGAGGCTT